CGGCTAGAATACCATTACACTTTGGGATTGAACAAAATCTTCCTCCCCAATGAGTTTCATCATTACATTTGCAAATGTCATCTGCCAAACAATTTCCTCTTCCATTACAAACATTTTCCATGGTCGACAAAGTGCCATTACACTTCAAGATTTGACAGTCATTACCACCAAATGCATACGTATCGAAACATTGACATTGATTTGGGGAAATGCATTGACCTCTGGAATTGCAAACTGTTGGATCTGATGCTGATGTCAAATTACATTTTGGAACGTCACATTTCAATCCATTCCATTGAGATTGATCTCTACAGACACATGTATCATGAGATACACAATCACCTCTTCCTGAACAAACACTGCTTGTTTGATTTGCTATTATTCCAAAACATACTGGAATTTCACATTTCTCACCAACATATCTTGACGTGTTGAAGCATTGACAGGTATTAAGTGCAATACAAGAGCCATTTCCTGAACAAACTGTTTCATCATTTGCTAAAGTACCATTACATTTTGGAATTTCACAATTTTCACCTCCATAATTAGAATTACATTTACAATAATTGTAACGTTCACAAATTCCATTACCATTACATGCAGTAGATGAGTTTGAAAACTTTCCAAAACATGTTGTTACTGTACACTCAGGTCCATAATAATTTTCATTACACATGCATGTATTCACATCAACACATGTTCCATTTCCATGACATGCTAAAAAAGGATATTTGCTTTCAGATGATTTCCCATAACATTCAGGAAGACATGTTCTTCCATCACCACTCAACACATAACCAACACCATCACAATATGGATAAACCTTCTTAATCAATCCAGCAACATCATCAGCAATATAAATCTCATTCTTATTCTCCCTCACAAAAACATTAAAAGGAGAATCCAAGTAACAATTCACTGGATCAGAATTGTCTGGACATCCACTCGAGGAATTTGTACTTCCAGCAATGATTTCCACTTGTCTATTTTGAATCTTTTTAACCTGCTTCAATCCAGGATCAGCAACAAACAATTCATCATGTGCTGTGTAATATAATCCCATTGGATTATTCCATGGAGTGGCTGTGAAATTTGCATCATTGAATGGTGGATACTCTGGATAAGGATTCCAATCTGGAGTGCTAGCACTGAATATGGTGTATGTTTCAGGAAGAACTAATCTCATAATTTTCCCATAATAAATATAGTAAATGTCACCTGTTAGTGGTGATGCAACTATTCCACCATCGGTAGGTGATAAACCACAATTAGTGAACCAGTTAAATGAATTATAATTTGCCAAACTATAGTAACCCACGCAATTGTTACCAACATCCATGAAAAGCAACCAATTGTGAAATTTATCGATGGAAAGCATCTTTCCAAAGTACATGACATTAGGTAGAGTTGTAATAGTTGTTTTTCCATAGTTGAGTGCTCTTATTTTCATACTAAAATATTCAGATAGGTAGACTTTCTCTTGTGCTTCATCAACAGCAATAAAAGGTTGATCTATAAATCTTTCGTTTCGACTAGTTTAGAATAGTTTACTTACTGCCAAGAGGAGCCATAAAAACGCTCAAAGTTCCATTAAAAACAGTTCTAATTAATTTAAATAATTAGTAAACTGTGAAAAATCACTTACAATATCCTATTTTTGTAATAGTTGTTTTCATTGTTGTGTTCTGCAATGAACATGTCTCCATTGGCCAACACATGTACTGCTCGTGGCATGTTCAACGAGCTGACAGCTGTCGTGATTTTGAACTTGACATTTAATGCACTGCACATGCCCAACAAAAGCACGAGGACAAATGCAAATAAAAACGTAAGGTTATTATGCATTTTTTTGTGGAGTCATGAAGATGCAACAACTATTTCACAAGTGCAAAAAAGAATGACATCTGAATGAATACTATCAATTTTAGAGAGTGAAAGTAATGAACTAACGGTTCAATGTTCCATTTCAGACAATATTACAATAATATCACATATTATTCTCATGATTATTGGTTATACAATAGATTATGATTCAGCTTTGGATGAACTTTAAATTATACAATTAGATTAGATCTAATTGGTTTGTTCCATTTGGATTTTGCATATTTTTCTATACGTTTACCAATTGAAATGTTACAAATATCACATACAACAAAACTTTTATCAATTAATAGAACATTATCAACAACACTTTCTTGTTATTAGTCAACATGTTACCACAGTGGAAGGA